TTCTTTCTTTCTTTCTTTCTTTCTTTCTTTCTTTCTTTCTTTCTTTCAACAGCTCCATTTATTAGCAGGCTTTTGACTTTCAGAAAACTCAGCAGTTTTGTCAAGGTGTTTCCCATTCTCAGTGGACAGCTGATGTAATATTGCCATAATTAGATGCATGATCTCATAATCTGTTTCCCTCTATTGTTTCTGCTGAGGAAAATGCAGGTTTTTTTCTTAACTGCTTAAATAAAATACTTAAATAAAATTACTTAAGTATGGTGAAGCTGGAGAAGACCATGGTGTCACATAGGTAAAGAGATAGAGACACCATAGCCTTGGAAACAAGAAAGCACAGGATGGAGGGCCCTGTGTACCACCTCATTTCCTGAAGTCCTTGACGAGAGGTTTGTGTAATTCAGGTGTTGTTGGAGAACCTGCACTGCAAGAACATTTTTAGCTCCAGGGTTCCCTACCACTGTTGGTAGCAGGCGTGAAAATTTCTGTGTGAGACACATTGCTGAAAAGGGCTTTTTATTAACAGGCCTGTGGCTAATAACTTTGTCATGGTGGTAAGCCTTCTGTGAACTCCAGACAAGGCACAGCAATGTCAGTAGCATAACAAAGAGACAATTGGTAGGACTCAAGAGACCAGTGTTTACCACTGAGCTGCTTGCAAGTCATTTGAACTCTGTGCTTTTGCTTCTTTCTCTATGCAGTCTTGACAGTTATCTCCCTTGAAGGTGTTTTCAGATAGATTGGTAAAATCTGAGTTATTAACCATCACGTCTGTAAAACTGCAGGACATCACTGTGCCCTCCATCTACAGCTGTCAGCTCATGATCCTGCCCTGAGTTTCTGTCTTGTCTTTCCCAGTTCCCTGAGCCAAAAGTTACCATGGGCCACTGCCATTAAGACTATCATGCTAAAAGCCAAGGCACCCGTCTGGCTGCTTGGCTTTCTGTCTTCACGCTATTTTTACATTGATGGTGCTTTCTGATACGCCAGTCCTTCCACACTACTTCCATCAATGTAGCCATACTTGGGTATAACCGTGATGGCAAAGATCTTCTCAGTCCTTGTCATATTAACTGGATTTTGCTTCTGCAAGCAGTTAGTGCAATCTACAAAGAACCAAAGTCAAGAAGATCCAATCATAAGCTGGGTGGCACATCAATCACTTTCCCCAGAACATTCCGTGTTAAATAACACGAAGTGAAAATGCATCAGGGATCCAGCCTTCTGCTTACATAGCCCAGGGGAGCTTTACAGGAAGCTTGCAAAATTCAGTTTTCTCTCTTCTCTCAGATTCAGGATGTTTTAACAGATATTAAATGAGTATCTGAGAAAATACAAGCACAACCTGGAACTGCAGCTGTTTTAATTGTAGGAGCAACAAGCCATAAGATGTGTGCAGTGCTGCGAATATAAACATCTCAAATGTAACCCAGTATTACAACAGTTTTTAGGGCAACCTGTGTCAAGCAATAAGGGCTATACTTAAATATAGGTGCTAGATATGTACAGGGCCCACTCTGAAAGTAATACCTCTTATTTTGCTATGTTGGCCCACAAAATCAGAGCTGGATTTTGGTGACAGTATAGACTGACCCTTCTGACCAGTATTCTTTTACATTTTGTTGCTGTGTGAGAGATGGCAGCAGAGGGACAGCCTGACAGAATGGTAGATGACATGGAAGTGCACATGAAGCAAAGGTATGGCATTGAATATGACTGTGCAAAAAAAAAGGCACACCCATGGACATTTACTGACACTTGCTGAACATTTATGGAGACCAACCAAATGGATGTGAGCACAGTGAGGTGGTAGGTGGTGCATTTCAGCAGTGGGTTACCTTGATTGGTGCAGATTTTTAGGAGCGTAGCATGGAAGCTCTTGATCACTGCTGGCAAAAATGTGTAGCTAACGGTAGTGACTATGATGAAAAATAGTGTTTTGTATATGAGAATTTATTCCATCAAATAGTGCTATGGTGCTCTTTGTATCTGTTGTAGTTTCCATGGAAATAAATAGGAGGCACTACTTTCAATATGACCTATGTAGAAGGAAAACATCAGTGCTGAGAACTTTAATGGCTAAAATGTACTCTCACTTTGATTGCCTTCACCCTGGTCCAAATTGCTGTTAACAACTGAAATGCATTAAGGCTCCTTGGACCATGCCTTTTGCTTTAGCATCTCTTGAAGTCGAATTCCGCTTGTCTGCTAAGGTCCTGCTCTTTTCTGTGTAATTCCAGAGTTTGCTTGCACAGGATAGGCAAATTCTTTTTTGAATTTTTTTTGAGCGTGTTGCAAGTTTTCTGATCTTCAGCTTGTAGCTTCACATAGAATGTTAAAGAGCATTTGGAAAGGCTTTGTGGTACTAACCTTCTTCTCCCTCTGACGGAGCACAATGGCTAGATGCACTATCAGCCTGCTTGTGCTCAGTCACTGATCAGGAATGCAACACAAAAAGGCACACTGCCAAAATAATTGACGTACTCGAGTATGCTGAATTGTTTTTTTGATTGCTTAAGAAATACTTTTATGGCTGGACAAACAAAAGATAAAAACAACTGCTAATTTTAGAGTGCTTTTTCTGTTATTTGTTTAACATGAATTACAACACAAGTCAATAAAAATCCATTTCAATGTGACTATTTAAAAGGAACCTGATAACAAAAGGCAATCTTTGCCTGCCATTTATTTTATCTCCACTTTCCTCACACTTACTGATACTGAGCTGGTTTGATATAAACAAGCAGCAGTCATTGCAGGAAAGGAGCTAGTGATGGCTTCCCCAGTGTTGATACATTCTCTTTTAGACAATGCAAGAAGCAAGAAATAAGTTGATCCCTACTAGTTTTGACAGAATAACAAAAGAAAGTGGCAAAAAAGCAAGAAACAGAACTTTCTGACAACTCAAGCAGCTAAAGCTTGAGAAGTCGGTAATTAAGAAAACCAATAAGTGAATATATTGAGCTGGACTGATACAGAAGAGAATCTTGGTGAATCTGGTGTTATCATGAACAAGAGCACATCTGCCTGCCCTTCTAGAGAGCAAAGAGAGAAGAAATTAAACACTCTCTTAGTCACCCTTCAGCATGCGCTACAAAAATCTGTCCAAGCACAATGAAAATTAGCACAATCAGAAATAGATCTCTCTTTTTCCTGAAGAACACTTTCAAACAAAAGTATAAGCTTGTGGAAGTTTTTTGAAGAAAGGACTTCTTTGTTGCAATCAATGATTTTAGTATCTAAGCTGATGCAGTTTGATTCGTATTTGTGAAGAAAACGCTTAACTGCAAAATTGAGGGTTATATTAGGACAGCTTTATAGCCAATCACTGCAATTATTTCACTCACATTAAATCATCTGCTGCTTTTTTTTTTCTCTGTAACATTTTTACAGAGAATATCTTTGAAGCATTTATTATTCCTTAAAAAAAGCCCTGATGAAGAAGTAATGTGGCCAGGAGAATATGTATGTAATCAGGCTTCTGTTGGCTAGTATTGGCAAGATTTCACTTAATTTAAGCAACCTACAAGTAATCTTTTCCTTTTTTTCTTTTTTTTTTTTTTTCTACTTTGGATATGACGTTCACTCATAAGGCAAATCTGACTTGTGAGTAAACACAGGGCTTCTGTGCAGCCGAAAGCTGCAAAAAGTACACATTTTTCTATAATGTAAGGAATCAGTATTCATAATCTTTCATCTCTTAGACCCAGCCTAAAAGCTGAGTGTTTTCCAAGGCACTAGCTCACTTCCCCAGCCAGACCTAGGGTGTGCTGTTCTGGCCAAAAGAGCTCAGCATTCTAACACCCAATGGTACTGGTCACAACTGTTAATGCATTTCAGCATACTCTCTTTTATGCACAATACACTATCAGAATATAGGATACTGCTTTGTAGAGTTCTGCCAGTGGGAAAATGAGATATTATCGTGCCTTTCTCATCAAATTAGATCTCCCTTCAATTCTTCACCAAGCACCCTGCATCATTTCACAGCAATACATTGTATTATCTCAGTCAGAAGTTCATGTTTCCCGTGATCATTTTGGTACAAGCACTACAAAGAATGTGATAAATCTTTCCGAACCAGAAACCAAAAATAACTCACAACCAAGTAATCATAAAATGCATACATCTTATGCAAAAGTTCTGAAATGAGACAACTCAAGAGCTGTCCATGAACAAGTGAGGACCATTGTGCACATCCCTTCACTAAGGGCTGTGGCAGAGCGGAACACTGGTCGTCTCAGGATAACCACTGTCAGATTCTGGATCCTCCTCTAGTTCACTTTCTGCAACTAGGTGTTCTTGTTTGCAGTAGGAGCATAGTACCATCCTACATCAAAAATGTTATGCAGGGTCTATTTTCAAACCAGAGTGATTTATTAGACTGGATTCGGCACAATAATATGCACACTTGGTGGACATAGTGGAGTGGCAATGTCATCATTTCCAGAAGACCTTCAGTCCTTGCTATTCAAGATCGTCAGGATATAGAAAGGGATTTGGAGAACCATAGAATGGTTTGGGTTGGAAGAGACCTCCACCAGCTAGACAATCTTAAGGTAATTTAGTTCCAACCCCTCTGCTACAAACAGGTACACTTCTCCCTGCAATAGGTTGCTCACAGCCCCATCCAGCCTGGCCTTGAATGCCTCCAGGGAGGGGACATCCACAACCTCACAGGGCAACTTGTTCCAGTGTCTCGTCACTCTCACAGTAAATAATTTCTTCATAATATCTAATCTAAATCTACCCTACTCCAGTTGAAAGGCATTTTCCCTTGTCCTGTTGCTACATGTCCTTATAACAAGTCCCTTTACAGTTTTTCTGTAATCCCCCTTTGAGTACTGGAAGGCCACCATAAGGTCCTCCTAGAGCCTTCTCCAGACTGAACAGCACCAACTGTCCCAGCCTGGCCCTATAAGGGAGGTGCTCCAGTTCTCTGACCATCCCTGTGGCCCTCCTCTGGACCTGCTCCAACAGCTCCACGTCCTTCTGGTGTTGGGAGCCCCAGAACTGGACGCAGTACTTCAGGTGGTGTCTGATGACATCAGAGTAGAGAGATAGAATCACCTCCCTGCTTGTCTTGATGCAGCCCAGGATACTATTGGCCTTCTGGGTTGCAAGCGCACATCGCTGGCTCATGTTGAATCCTTCCTCAATCCACACTCCCAAACCCTTCTCCTTAGGGCTACTCTCAAGCCATTCTCTACCTTGTCTGTGTCTGTGCTTGGGATTGCCCTGACCCAGGTGCATGATCTTACACTTGGAAGTTCCTTTTAAAAGCAAAAATTGTGCATTTGTAGTTCCTTTTAAAATATTATCATATACAAACCCATCAACATTTGTTGACAACATATTTCACAAGAGAAAAAAGCGCTTTTCTATTTCAAATAGAATACTGTCGTGTACTTTATGCTAGTGTTATTTATACCAAGTCAATAGGAGAATAGTCAACATCCTCCTTATGAAAAAAAAAGTTATCGTAAAAAACAGGCATTGTTTAAGATTTCCATTTAAAAATAGCATATAACCTAACTCTTTATTTCAAAGTGTCAACAAACCATACATCTTTAATTAGATTTTCATTTATTTGCATTTAAGAAGAACAAAAACTTTTGAGATAGTGCTCTTTTCATTTGAAATTCTTGAAGCACTTCAAAAGACGAACTAGCCTGCTGCTTTGATATTGCTGCTACATTTCAGAGTATTATCATGAGCAAAGAACTCAAGCCCTAAGAACTTCCTTTTATTCTAAAACCAATGGCATAATCACTTTTTAAGCACATATATTCTGATTTTAATTGAGTGCTGCACAAAATCTTTCAGTATATACAGCAATAAAGTGGAAAACAAATCAAAATAAAATAGTAGACTTTGCGTATTTCTAAAATATACTGCATTATCCTGAAAGACATACAACAAGGAAAGTAATGTAGAAATGTATCAGTTTTCTCAAATCATTAAAGAAAAAAAAGTCACAGTAAATTCAGTTCATAGCACTGTAGTTTCTTTCTATTTAGTAGTATTGGACAATTTTCTATTTGTTTACTTCCTATGTTTTTTCTTATTCTTATATATTATGTTTTGGTGGGGACCAAATGTTGCACTCTGTTATTTTTACGGAGTTTTCTTTAAGGTCATCAGGGCAAAAATCAGGATACTCCATTTTCTAGACATTGATGTTCTCTACCTTATTTTATGAATAAAGCATACCATAAATATTTAACAAAATATTTATTTGACAAATTCAAACAAGATTTCCTCTAAATACCCTTGGAATACACATGCAGGGATTCATGTCTATTGATTCACTTGGGATGCCTGGACCCTCATAAACAACAAACGACCTTCTTAATTTTTATTGGTAAAATGGTAAAAACAAGAATTAGTGTCTCCGTTTTTCTCCTGGATGTAATGCTCTGTAGATTGCCAGTATTGTTGCTGCCATGTATGCTGATTCTTCCCTTTTGTTCCCATCTCCATCCAGAGCCTTGCAAGAAGGAAATCTTGAGCACAGAAACGTAATGGCATTGCAGGTCTGAGGAAGTCAGCCCATCTTGTCACCGCAAAGAAGTCTGAGTGTGCCTGGACCCCTCCTGCACTAAGGAGCACCCACTGACACTGGGCCCAGGGTCTTACCCGGGGTCTGTTCTTACGACCTAACAAGCTCTTCCTTGTATCATACTTAGAACTTATTTTTCACCATGCTGGAAGACATACAGAATTGATACATATAATATTATAAGTCTTTTCTTCTCACTGCTGTCTTCTGAATTCTCTTCAGCTTGTCCAGGTTTGTCTGCCTGCCAAAACTACTTAGAGTGTTTCAGATGAGCAGACGAGGAGGGCTTCCTTGTATCAAGCACAGCAAAATATTTGACACTCATCTTTTTTCCCATTTTCACCATTATCACTCAGCGATTCATAGTCTCAATCTTTTGTACTGCATTTTGTCAATTATTTCCCATTTCCTGTTTGAAAATAGGACTTAATTTCAGAGAAGTCATTCTTGACTAATGTGAATCTTCTGCTCCAGGGAGCAGAGTGGGGAGGAGAGTTTGGTACAGGATTTTTTAGGACCTCAGTAGGAAAGGCCTTACAAAAAATGGCATAATAAAATTTCTGATCCAATAAGAGAATAAAAAGAGAAAAATAGAGAATGAGTAAATTTTACATCTCTTCAAATGCTGGAAACCCCACTCAGCACAGGGAGACACCAGTTAGATTTTCCCTCTACAGTTCCTGTATGTGAAGGAGTTCCTTCTACCTCCTGTGCCCTTGTACCTTTTATTTTATGTGACAAAATCACGTGTCTTCCCTGGCAGCCTGGTCTGTCATCCCTGTCAGAACATCCACCAGGGTGCAGCAGTTTCCTTGCAGCAGGTTTCCTTACAGCTCATGCTTTTATCAGATCAGTTTAAGCCTAGAAGACTAGGTCCAGCAGAGCAGATATGGCCCATTCCAGGTTACTGGCACCTTAAACGTAACGTCTTCTGCAACAGGGAAGGATGCTCAGTTTTGCATTGTTGAATTCAGACTGTTTCTCTTTTTCTATCAAAATAATACTGCATATGTGCACCTAAGACCGTTTTTCATGCGCTGCCCTGACCTCCCATTAATTGGGCTCCTATTTATTCACTTAGGTGGGTAAGCATAACAGACCTGTGAAGCATATCCGAGGAAAGCGCTTGTCATCATCTTTATCTACAAAGCTTTTATCTCATAAAACACATACACAGGAGATTCATATAAACATATAAAATACTAAGAGTGAGATTGTCTTACTGTATAAATATAATAAATTAAAACATACATTTTCACCTGCAACATCAGCAACACCAAAAGACATTTATATGGATGCAGTATGCCCTAGAAAGGTGTGGATTGTGTAATTCAGAAAGAAAATTATTATTAAGTATAAAAGAGAATAGTGTAAGTAGGTTACATAGATATCCCTACATGTGTTTTCACAGTATAAGCATGAGTAATAGGTGTTGAAAATGAAAGAAAACACCTATCTTGTTACGGATGTATTTTATTCTCACTTTCTTCACAAGAACTATTTTCCAGAACAGAAAAATTCCTATGTTCAGTCTGTTTTTCACATACTTTTGCAAAGCCAAGGCCTTGGTTCTTTGTCTCATCCACACACCTATACATTGTCATTGCTTCATGACTGTAATGAAAGACTTAGCAGTAAAAGGGCTATTCTCTGCACCTGGATCTCTCTGACAAGCAATGGTAATGGCACAAGGAACCCTTTAGTCCAGTTGTGTAGAGCTGAATGATTAAATTATAGCTGAGAATCAGCTATTTCACTGCTCACCTGGCTTTGTATAGCTCTCAACCATAACACTCTTCAGGTGGTCATCTCCAGCTTTTTGTTAAAGAACTGAAAAAAGAAACACCAAAAGAAAGCACTTTTCTGTGTTTTTCAACAGTTAGCATATTTAACATATTAACATAACAGTTAACATCCAGTTAACATATTCACACTGTGATAGCACTGTGGTTGCCCCAGGTAGCAGCTGTCAAACACTTGGAAGGATTTTTATATTTAAGGATAGAATTTTTGCCTACATGGCCTTCACTCAAAAATAATTGAGCTGCTTCAGTGCTGACTGGCAGGATTTTTCTTTTTGCTCAGAAATGAGAAGTAGAAAATTACAGTCCAAAAGGTAACGAGTCAGAAAATCATTATTTGAATTCAGGTTTTGTAGCAGAAAACATTTTTCAACCTCAGTTAAAAAAAAAAAATAATAATCCCAAAGAACCGTACTGCCCATGCAGTAATGCAACCTATTAAAATTAAAAGCATAAGGGAGAAAAGCAGGAGAAGCAAGTAGGTTATTTGGAACTGAGATATATCTGTTGGTGCTAAGCACCAACGGGAGTGTTGCTAGTAGATGTTCTCAGCTGGAAAAAGAGAAAATGGAATGTAACACAAATTTTCTCTCTTCAGAACACAGCGATTCATGTCTCATTGTGGAGGCTTTCCACAAACAGCTTTAGCTCTATTTGAGCATGTAAGTATTCAATACAGAGGGAATGAAAGGGAATGTTTGGACAGGAGCTGTAACACAGACCACAAAGCAATTTTGGTGCTTAGCATTACACCTGAAATGGGATGCTAATATATTTGCTGTTGTGACTGTTATGTGGGATTCATAAGAAAGAGACAGCTTCATATAGACACGCAACTTTTAATAATAACATTCAGACAATAAAACAGCCATCACAATATCCATCCGAATGAATCTCAATCCTTTCACAGAAGGCAATGTGCTATGGTGATGATATTTAAGGAGTGTTGAAAGGGGACTGAATAAATGACACTTGTATATTTAGAAATTAAAGAAAAAGGAAACCATTTGTCCCTGAAGATTGATATTTCAACTTCAAGCACTGAGAACTAACATTAAACCTTTTACCGCACTCAAACCCTGCCACACACGTATAAGATTTTACAACTCAGTCAAGGCACTTCTGTTCTCTCATTGAATCAAGAAAGGGAAATGGAAACATATAGTTGATGAAAAGACAAAAAGAAGGTCCAAGGAAGCCACTGGGCTAAGTGGGTAGCAGTTGCTAAAATTTCCATTGCAGGCTCTTTTTTCAGCTTACAGAACTTACTCATAGAAAAACCCTCATCAAGCTCAATTGTGCCTGTTCCTCAGCCTGCATACAGAAGAGAAACATTTTAAGCAGTGCCTATTCGGGGCAGCAAAGTTTACTTTTCTCCAACTGTTCCAGGAACACTTTCAATCTTGACTACAGATACAAGGTTTATCAGCCTCAACAGGATGTATATATGTGACAAGCAAGAAGTCATACTCCTTCTTAATGCATTAAAGGCAGAAGTTGCAATGCTGCTGACAAGTGCTAGGTAACTCAGTACCTAACAGCACATGCTTACTCATCCATTTGCTTAGACAAATCTGCTGTGATACAGGCTGAAGAAGAATTCCATGGCCACTGAAAATGTATAAATGCAGGAAATTCAAGATTTTACATAAAAACTCTTCTTCAGTTCAAAAACTGTCATGACTTCTTTTCTAATTAGAATGATTTTCAACCATAACGGTAAAAGGGATAAATAAGCCTCAGGTAGCCACAGTATATTTGCTTCAAATATCTGACTCGCCATTTTCAAAGACAGAAATGAAAACTTTGCTTTTAGCCCGAATCCATCTATCCCCTTTTGTTTCTCATTTTCCATTCTGTTTCTTACAGATGTAAAGTAACACAAGGGTCACTTGAATTTCCTATAAAACTGCACAGCTTGGGTGAATATAATTATGGGAAGGCAAATGCATATAGGATAACTGCTTGCAGAAATCTCCTATTAAAGTTGATTTTTTTTTCCTCTTATGTACAGACCTCCTCTTATATACAGTCATTTCACTGTAGTCTAACTGGGGGGACCCTCACAGGTGGGAAGTGACAAGGACTTGAAGTTGTGTATCAGTACAAAGTTACCTGCATGACAATCTATTACTCCTTTGGAATGTTTCAAGCACTCATTGCAAAAGTGTCCAGTAAGCAAAAGTTTGCTATATTCCTTCAGTGCAGAGATTTTTCAAGTAATGCATTTCTTCCCTCTGTTCTGAGAGATCCCCGTTTGGACTTCCACAAGAATTTTGTGCCAGAGATTTTCTCTGCTTGTGTTATGTAAAAAAATCATCCCCATTCTTTATCACCTGTTAGAAACATGTAATTTTTTTCTGTTTTATGTTTTTGGGCTCTTCCATATCGTTTAAATGCAATTCTGAATCTTGTAAGCTTATGAACTTGTGTGTGACGTCTTTAGCTGATCCAGGTGATTTAGCCAGTATTATATCAGTAATAATATACATTACTATATAGAGAAGGAATATCTCTGTTTATAGAGAAGAAACATATAAAGGAGAGTACAGCATAATAATTCGTATAACATACAGAGTAACATTGGGATCGACAGGAGAAAATCTTGCTATGTCTGAGCATCACTGGAATGACTTTCTAGTAGAGCAACAGAAGCCTCTGCTTTCTCATTCAGAGAAGATATTAAGGGAAAGGAGAATGACTCTCAGAAAGGCTGTAAGGATAGCCTTATATTCTGTGGATAGCCAAGGTAACAGCATTTAGTGCAATGAGCAGATAATATGCTGAATTCTCTCTTTCTTATCACTTCCATGTCAATTCAAATACAGTCAGATCTTGATTACAACTGCAGTGAACCATAAATAGGTTTGAGACAATATGAAGCAGGCACGAGTGATTGTGATAAAAAAATGAGGCATGAAAGGCATTGCAGATGCTGGATTTCCAAACACACACACAAAAAAAAAGTAAAGAAAATAATTTAATCTGGGTTTTCCTCCATGACAAGGGTTTTTAAAATATCTGCTAGATTTTAGAAGTAATTGTGATCTGCAAGTATCATAGAACCATAGAATCATAGAAAGGCCTGAGTTGAAGAGGACCACCATGATCATCCAGTTCCAACCCCCTGCTATGTGCAGGGTCACCAACCAGCAGACCAGGCTGCCCAGAGCCACATCCAGCCTGGCCTTGAATGCCTCAAGGGATGGGGCATCCACAGCCTCCTTGGGCAACCTGTTCCAGTGCATCACCACCCTGTGTGAAAAACTTCCTCCTAATATCCAGTGTAAACCTCCCCATCTCAGTTTAAAACCATTCTGCCTTGTCCTATTACTACCCTTGTAAACAGCCATTCCCTCTCCTGTTTATATGCTCCCTTCAAGCACTGGAAGGCCACAATGAGGTCTCCCCAGACTCTTCTCTTCTCCAAGCTAAACAATCCCAGTTCCCTCAACCTTTCCTCATGGGAGGGGTGCTCCAGTCCTCTGATCATCTTAGTGGCCCTCCTCTGGACCCACTCCAAGAACTCATTTCCTTCTTGTACAGGCCTGGATGCAGTACTCCATATGGGGCCTCACAAGAGCCGAGCAGAGGGGGATGATCACCTCCTTCTCCCTGCTGGCTGCCTCTTTTTTAATGCAGCCCAGAACACAGTTGGCCTTCTGGGCTGCAAGCGCACACTGCTGGCTCATGTCCAGCTTCTCGTCCACGAGGACCCTCAAGTCCTTCTCCACAGAGATGATAAAGACATCAGAAGGGTTTAAACCCATAAAAAGTACCCATCAGGAGAGGGAGTCAATAGAAGCAAGGTGAGAAATTACAACGGGAGAATCCCCAAGCATGTTCTGGCAACCCCTTTGCCTTTGTCTTTCCCCTGGAAGACAAGAAAGCAAGGTGCTTTCCTACTCTGCTTTATTTAGCATGGCAGCAGGTGGATATGCCTAGTATCACTGAGGTGGTCTAGCCTTAGGATCAGCATCTGTCCACCTAATGGTACAGTTATTAAAAGGCCACTGTAATCAGCCAAACAGGAAGATTAAACTGCTCTAATTGGAACTGTATATCGCTCTTTTTACATGTTCTGATTTTTGTTTTCCTTAGGTTGCTGTTACAGTCATGCAACTCTAGTGCATAACTTGATGGTTCACAGTACTACTCACGCTGACACTATCTTCCTTACCACACAGGATAATGAAGCCAATTTACATGAGTAATTAGAGTATCAGAGGCAAATGAGAGACATAACCTCTATGTAGCTACCAACCCTATGTGATTTTCTGTTCCAATCTTTTATTTAGAAACAAAACACCCTCCACAGATAGAAACCTTGATTATCTGGAATTCAAAGAGACTGTGCATCCAAGCAGCACTTCTGCTGAACTCTTGCTCCCTATGAACCTCTTTTATAGTTTACGTTAGTAATTTCCAGCTCAAGGCTCTCAGTTAAATCATTTCAGCTGTTCATCTTAAGAGCCACCCACTCAGAGGTAAAACTGAGTACTACATAAATAAAAGCTTGACAAGAAATTAATGACATTCATAACTTGCAGAACAAAACTGGCTTTTTTTTTTTTCAAGACTACCTTTTTATTTCATTTACTACTTGACTTTTTCTCCATTAAAGAAATACAAATTAGGGTGTTTATTTATAAAAGTCCTCAATTCTCTCGTGTCTGGAATTTGCAAAGTTACCCTCAGATTTTGGTGAAGAGGAGTGTATTTTAAGCAGAATTCTAATTTCTCATATGATTTAGCAGTTAAGTCATAAACATATGTCATAAACATATGTAAACATACGTTGTATAAAACATAATGAAGCAGGCAGGAACCTGCATCTATTTAATTAAGTCTACCAATCTGTCAGTTCTACGGCATTCACCTTTAATTGTTTTCATTGGATATTTTGATTATACTTGATAGTTTTAAGCTTCTAGACTTAGAATGTGCTGTAAATAGCTCTGCCCACAGAGCAGATCTCCTGCTCCTGCAGTACTCAGATTGTCTGGTTTGCAGTTGTCCTGCACCACA